CCGTGTCTGAGTAGATGATTGATGACAACCAAGTCAATCTGCTCGAGTGGCTTTGAAGGTTTTGGCTCAGTGGCCGAGTGGTCGTCTCCCAACCCCATGGTTGTGGGATGGGTCCTCAATCCTTGTGACCATGTGGAAGTGTCCTTGAGCAAGATACTGAACCTCCTGATGCTGCGTCACCAGGAGGTAAAATGAGGAAGCAGCGTTAAAGCGCTTTGGGTATACCTAAGGTCGAAAAGGACTATTCAAGTGAAAGCCATCAGCCATTCCGTGCTTTGTTCTTGAACGTTTAGAAGCCTGTTTCAAGTGGACTTCTTCCATGGAGCTCCAGTTTTTAGGGGGCGGGGGGCAAATGGTATACAGTAAAAATTATTTAGAAAAAAGGCACTGTTAATCTTTGTTTTGAATCGAATGTTTTTATTTATATTCCTTATTTATATACAAGGCAATATATTTATTTTTGTTTCATTTGAGTTAAAGATTGCCTAAGAATGAAATGTTCAAAATGCGGAACGAAAATAAAAAGATCAATTGTCAAGTCAACTTTATTGTCAATTGTACTACATGTGCAAAAACAGCCGTTGATTTTTCTTTTTACACTTTTTTTTTGTTAAATAATTGGTTAATCATTGAGAATGAAATTCATTAATAATCAAAATATTAATCACTATTAATAGTCAAATGCAAAAAATGAGAATGATTTATTAAAAAGGTTACCATTTTAAATAGTCAAACCTATTGGGGTCAGATGGGAAACTCCCCCACCCCTCCCCAAAAAAAAAAAGATGTCAGTGTGACAAATCCACTTCCTCGAGCTATTGCTGTTGGGCCTGCTGTTGTCAATAAAGTTCGAGGCCTTTGAACAGAAGCCGATAATCCAATCCGATTACAATGGTGCAGATGGTTTTGCTTTTAATCTGCTCGACATGTCTGAACACGCCGGCAGCATGGTCGTCATGCTCGCAGGTAAAACCAACTCGACACACTCGCCACTCTTACTCATTGGAACTACTTTGCACTACTTTACTCATTATTACATTACTCTCTTGACTCATCATTACTTTACACTATTGACTGTCATCATTTTAATCTGTATTTATTCATTCTACCTTGACGTGATGTCAGAATCATCTTTCTTGGCCAAATCTGTAAGAACACACAAGGAATTTGTCTCAGGCAGTTTTTGTCACTCTTGAATTACGGCAACAAAAAGAACATTTAGGACGTATCCCACACAGAGTTCTTAAGCAATGGTGAAGGTGATGCGGAGAATCCTTGTGTGACAGTTCTTTTTGGTGCGCTAGCGCTGTTGCTGTGTGCGTCCGTGGCGCCGCTTTGGGCCTTCGTGGACGAGCTGGATGACTCGTGAGTCCACTTTTGTGTGATTTGAGTCATTGTCACCCGTCGGTCACTGTCAGTGTTTCCCTGTCCGACAGGTTGTTGGAGATGCGGCGAAATGAAGACATTTGGCTGATTAAAGTATGTTGACTTTCATGTCATCAGTGATGTGAAAATGTGACATGATTGGTTGCCCTCTATTGAATGTGTGTGCCCGCTGATGATGTCACGTGGCATTACTGTGCTCAGTTTTACGCTCCATGGTGCCGAATCTGCAAGGAGATGGACCCGACCTGGCACCGGATCGGCTCCGAGCTCAAGAGCGTCGGATCGCCCGTCAACGTCGGCAAATGCGACGCCATCGCCAATGCGGGTGAGCCCACCTTCGTCCTCACCGTCATCATCGTCGACGCCGTGGTGTCTTTCCCTCGCGCTCACCCACCTTCTGTCTGCAGGCTTGGCAAAAGAGTTCAAAGTTCGCACCTATCCCGCCATCTTCATGTGAGTTCACAGCTCAGCATCAGACATCAGTGTGACGTTTGTTCATGACGTCACGGTAATGTGATGGTGATGTTTTGGTGACATCACTGTGAGTCATCTTGATGTTTTGATTGACATTATGTTGTCATGGTGATGTCTTGTATATTTCAGGTGGAAGAACGATATGAAGTATCTTTACTTGGGCCCCCGAACCGCAGACGCCATTGTTGAATTTGCTAACAGAGTTAGTGGGTGAGGATGACACACGCTCACAGCTGTCGCACCGTGTGTGGGTGTGAGTGTGTGTGCACGCGTGCGTCCACGCCGGCGTGTTTGTGGGTAAGAGTGACATAAAAAAAGGGAAACAACATGGTTCTGTTGTTTGTGTTTTCAGTCCGCTGATTCGACCCTTGACGAGCTTGGAGCTCTTCCAACACACTTTAAGCCGGCATGATGTCATGTTTGTGTATATCGGAGCATCATCACTACTCAAAGTAACACACACGCATATACACACACACACAGACGTTTGACCTGTAACCACTGACCTGTGACCTGTGTTTGCAGAGTGAGTACTCATCAGTGGCTCAGGAGATGATAGTGTCGACGTTCTTCTTCTCCGCCAGCAGAGACGTCGTGCCCAAGGTCCAAATGTCAACACGAGAAGTCGAAGCAAAAAAAAAAAGCCTTTGAAGAAGCTCGTTACCTGTTGGTCAATTGCGCTTTGACGGTGTGGTTTGCAGGCCGTGTCTCTTCCCGCTCTTCCGGCCGTGGTGGTCTTCAAAGATGGCGCTTACTTCAGCTACAATGGTGGGAATGAAGCTGACCTTTGACTTTTGTGTCTTGACCGATGACCTTTGTGATTCCTTGACACATTTCAGAGGCCAGCGACGGCTCACTGAAGGCCTGGATCAAAAGGGAGAGATTCAGTAACTATGCTAAAGTGGACAACTACATGCTCTATGCCATGGGAGACTCGGGTGACTGCTGACCACACACACACACACAAGACGTGTGCGCAAACACACACTAGAGGGTGACGTTGTTATCAAGAATTCAAATTTAGGTTTAATCACGGGATTGGCACAGTAAAGGATAAATTCACGGGAGTGGGATGACCCAATAAAAAAAAAAAAAAAAAATTCTGAAATGCACAGCCATTTTTAATGTAGTTGACCTCCAAAATGGGAGTGGTACTGGAGTGGGAGTCAAACTGAACGGGAGCAGGACAGAGTAGGAGTCGGTTTCACCGGGAACGGCACCGGGACAGGATTTTTTTTCTTTACTATAGTCCCAGATTGGGACGGCATGGGATTTTATCTGTGGGTGTGGGATTGGACGGGAGCGAAAATGACAACGCACTCTTTTGCGCAGGGAAGCTGATTCTGTTGGCACTGTTGGATGACGCCAATGTGAGCCAACAAAATCTCAAGTATGACCTCAGATCTGTGCGGCGCACTTCCTGTCTGTCTGACCTGCTTATGCTGTCCTTCCTTTCACATGTTCAGGTACAAAAGCCTTGTGTGGAAAGTTTCGCAGGACTACAAAGACGTTTACAGCAGGTCAGGAAGTTCAACCTTAAGGCTTTGAACGTGAAAATCCACTGAATTGAGTGTGTGCGCATCAAGCTGTGGTTTTGCTTTTCATTCCCACAGAAACATTCACTTTGGTTTCATGGAGGGCAATGAATACATCAATGGGCTCATCATGGGGTGAATATATGCGCGTGTGTATGTGTGTGTGCACATGTCTTAGTGAGAGTGCATGCGTGAATACACGCGTGTGTGCATGTTTATATAAGTGCGCACATGTTTCTTCAGCATGTGACTCGATGTGTTTTGTCGCGTGTTCAGCGAGCTGCAGCTTCCGACCATCGTCATGTTGAATCTGTCCACTGACAGCTACTTCCTGCCACCTGCCCCACTGGAGACAGAGCGCCACCTGCTGGACTTTGTGGATCAGGTTCTGGACGGCAGGATCCAGGCGAGTCCGCCAAAAAGCACTGGCAGAAAATCTTGAAACGTGTTATTGACTCGTGTTGTCCTTTGTCCTATTTTAGGCTCATGGAGGAAACGGGGTCATTCAGCGAGTCAGACGCTTCATTTACGACACCAAAGGCATGCTCTTGGTACTTCCTCTCTACACTTCCTGGCCAAATGCAGCTGACTGTCCTCATGCTGGTGCTGTCTGAAAGTCTGTGTTTGTTTCCATCCAGCCGCTGCTGAGTGAGGCTCCGCTACTGGGCTGCTTCCTGCTGGGCTTCCCACTGGGCCTTTTGGTCTTCTTGTGCTTTGTGTGCTGGAAGGCCAAGTCTGACTACGGAACCCAAGACGACGATGATGATGACGACGACAATCGGCCCATCTTCTCTCGGAGACAAATACCCGACAAGAAGTCAGACTGACTCTGATCGACAGAACCGCAGTGTGCTGCAAACTTCAAAAAAGTCGATTAAAGAAAGGTTGAAAAACTTGCAATTGGGTGTGAAATGGGTCCGACATCAGACATTCTAACGTTGGCATGCATTCGCAACATGTTCCTCTTTGCTTCCAAATGTCACAAGTTCAGCAGACGCAGTGTGATCAAACAAATATGTTGTCCTGTGACTCCAAGTTTTTTCATTTGGTCTCAGCAAAAGACAGTTGAAAAAACTGACAAAAAGATATTTGTCCTTTTACATTTAGTGCCAGGAGGCATCCCAATCAGATACCCGAGCCACTTCAAATGGCTCCTCTCAATGTGGAGGAGCAGCGGTTCAACTCAAAGTCCCTTGTGGATGCTGAGCTTCTCACCCTATCTCTCAGGGAGAGCACGTACACACTTTTCATCCGCTTGTATCCGGGATCTTGTTCTTTCGGTTGCAACCCACAACTCATGAGCATAGAGTCTATCATAGACCATAGATGAGAGTTGGAACAAAGATTGACAAGTAATTCGAGAGCTTTGCCTTTTGGTTCAGCTCCTTCACCACACAGTTGATGATCCACCTGACGATTTCCTACTCGAGCCTATCCTCCCCTTTTCTGAAGATCTCTCATAATATATATATATTTATTTTCAATAAATCCATTTACCAGATGATGTATTAGCTTATCTTTTTAATTATAAAAAAAAAATAGCACAGAACAATTTACGAACAGCACAGTTCTTGAGCGCTACATTCGTCTCTTTCAAAATAAAAGGAAAACTTTTTCCTTGAACGTAGTCTGTTATTGTGAAGGTCGACGGGTCGCACTGACGCTTCCTGGAGACAAAAGACAAACATCTAGCTAGCAGCTAGCTGAGTGCGTCGCCAAAAGTGGTCGTCGAGACGATTAAGAGGTCCAACAGAGCGGAGCCGCCGGCTGCTCTTCATGCTGGCGACCTGCTGGAATCCCTCCAGAAACTTGTCGGCATTGGTACGCCGTCCCCATGGCAACGGAAGACTTCTACGAGGTGACGCTAACATGCTAACACGAGCTAACGTGTAACACGGCCAACTTGAGAAAAGTTGAGGGGTCGCCGCGGGGTGACGCAATGTCAACTAGATATCGTCATATGTGTACGGGGACATGGCGTGGGATACTTGAAACATGTTTTGAAATTCTAATGCGTATGATATAAACAAATGTGCTGCGTGCTGCCCACAGGTGGAGCGGATCGTAGATAAGCGGAAGAACCGGAAGGGGCGGACGGAGTACCTGGTCCGCTGGCGAGGCTACGGCTGTGAAGGCGACACGTGGGAGCCTGAGGTTCATCTGACTACATGTATGCCTTATGTGCACGACTTCAACCGGCAGCACGCCCAGCGCCACAGAGACGCCACCCTGCTGCGCTCCACTCGTAGCAGCAATCTGTGCGCTACCCCGCACGGGAACTCCTGCAGCCCACCTGCTCATGTCGGGCGACTTCTGCCCTTCTCGGACCCTCCGCCTGCCCCGGCTCATCTGTCGCCTGGCGAACTCAAGGGCCAGTCGCACTCCTCAGTGAGTATCATGCCAGGACCCCCAAAGTTGGTGCCCCCGTCATTGGTGCCCTCAATGCCGGCGCCCCTGGTGGGCCCACCCCGCCGCAGCTTGGACTTGTCCAAAAGCGGGATCAAGATCCTGGTGCCCAGAAGCCCCATGAACAGCCTACTGGACGCTGAAGAGTCGCCCAGCGAGGCGGCACCCAGCGAGGCGACTCACAACACGGATGCCGGCGCCCGCGATGCCCACGATGTCCCCCCTGAGGTGGCACTGGAGCAACCGGCCGGCGTGCAGCTGGCTCCAGGAGAGCTGCGCGCCCGCATGGGGATCAGGTCGCGGGGCAACAGCGCCCGGCCAGTGATGCAAGCCCTCAATGGATCAGGTAATAATAATAATAATAATAATAACAATCATAATAAGTATAGCTGAGGTTTATCTAATGCCGTTCAAGGGACTTGTGTACACTTAACAATAACTGAGCCAGGGGTCCTTCAAATGTTTAGTGTCTTAGGGTTAGCACGAAGGAACAGTTATAGTTGGCCACCGGCAGACAGCGTGATCGAAGGTTCCAGTTGAAGTCCGACAAGCAGGCAAGGAGAAAGCAGTTGGGGGAAGTTCTCATGATGTGAGATCTTTCAGGGACCTAAGCTAAGTGTTGTTGCGCAGCTTGTGTTGTTGCAGTGGAGCCAGATGAGCTGTAACAGGCCACCGGCAACAGTGATGCTTCACTGCGGGCCTTTTGTGGAGGACTTCGTTTCCCAGGGATTCATGCCGTAATATTTCATTTTTCATCTGAAAACATTGCTTTGGTTTGCAAGCATTTTTCTTCACAGGCGCTCGCGGAACAATAATTTTGTGAATTGGGGTTCCATAGTCTGTGTCCCAAAAAAATCAGAGTATCTACATGAATCCTTGAGTCTGAAAGGTGATAAAATGGCTAATATGAAAGTAGTAAAATGTTTTTTTTTTTTTTACGGGTTGCCACGCAGTGGTATCTTTGCACTTCTGTCATTTGAGTAACATGTTTATGTTTGCCTCCTCGAAGTAGTGCACAGACCGAGGAAAAAGCCTGTGAATGTAGTATGTGTTTGTATATTGTTCGATCAACTCCGGAGGTGCCGACTGACCAACTTTGCATCCGCTTAGGCGCTCCGGGGACGACGGAGGACCTCGGTACGGGCGGGACCTCTGCACTTACTGTGACGTCGGGTGCCCCGGCCAAGCGACGTCCGGAGGAGCGCGGTACATTCGACAAACGCTTGCGTTTCAGCGTGCGACAGACGGAGAGCGCCTACCGCTACCGCGATATCGTGGTCAAGAAACAAGACGGCTTCACGCACATCCTGCTGTCCACCAAGAGCTCGGAAAACAACGCGCTCAACCCCGAGGTGCGCACACCCCCGCGCGGACCACCACACACACGCATCCCGGTCTCCTCCTTTCACCTTCGCCGTGGTTGTCACCGCAGGTGATGAAGGAGATCCAGAGCGCCATGGCGACGGCGGCCTCCGACGACAGCAAGTTGGTACTCCTGGGAGCTGTGGGCGGCGTCTTCTGCTGCGGCCTGGACTTGGTCCACTTGGTCCGACGCCTCACAGATGACAGGAAGAAGGAAAGCGTTAAGATGGCCGAAACCATCAGGTAAGTGGTTGCCTCAGTCCCCTTTCGCCGTAGGCGGGGGTGGGGTGAGGACAGAGCGCCACATACCAAGCACAACGGTACCGCGGCACCTGCGGTAAAAGTAAATCCGAACAAAAGATAGCTTTCGTTGTATTGCCACGTGCCAGAAACTTTGCTCATCTCGAAGCACAAGGCAATTATCGTATTTTCCGGACTATAAGTTGGAGGTTTTTTTCCATCGTTTGGCCGGGGGTGCGATTTATACTCTGGAGCGACTTATGTGTGAAATAATTAACACATTCGATCATTTGACATGTTATTTTCACATTAAACCGCAAGAGGGGGCTCTAGGCCTGTGTTGATGCTTGCCACATTGACAAAAAAAAAAAAAACTACCATGACTCCACCGTCTCTTCTCCCTCCGAAGTTGGCAGAGTTGCTTAAAAGTGACACCGAGGATGAAGATTTGATTGGATTTAGTGATTTGGAGTGACACTGATGGTTTGGTAAACTTGTGAGCATGATCATTATGCTACAGTTATCTGAATGACTCTTAATATGTTACATGAACACACCGGGCACATGCTCAGTTCATTGTTTATGCGTCATGTAACGTTAGCATATCGTACTCTTATTCAGCCTGTTGTTTTTTATTTTTATTTGCCTTCAAAGATGACATGTCTGTTCTTGGTGTTGGATTTTATCACATAAATTTCCCCCCAAAATGCGACTTATACTCCAGTGCAACTTATGTATGTTTTTTTTTTTTTTTTGTTCTTTATTATGCATTTTATGGTTGGTGCGACTTAGACTCGGGAACGGCTTATAGTCCGGAAAATACGGTAGCTAGCTGCTGCTGCTACCTACCGGTATGGAAGAGCCCCACATGATTACCCGGCTGCCGGCCGGTTGACTGCACAGGCATACAAATTGGATAATTTCCCACAGTGTTTGAAAAACACCGAGTTACAGCAAGCAATGTGTTTTTATATGATAACATTTGTGTAATTATTCCATCAGTTCCACACGCTGTACACTGACTAGCTGACCTTGGAGCTAAGCGTCCATTGTTGCCTGTTGTCTAAACGAAGCGTGTCGTGCAACATGAGGCGTGCGGGAGCTAGCCAAGTGACGTGAGCGCATGTGTGCTTCCTTAGGACGTTCGTCAACACATTCATCCAGTTCCGCAAGCCCATTGTGGCCGCCGTCAACGGGCCGGCGCTGGGCCTGGGCGCCGCCATCTTGCCACTGTGTGACGTCGTGTGGGCCAATGAGAAGGCTTGGTTCCAGACGCCCTACGCCGCGTACGGGCAGACTCCCGACGCCTGCTCCTCCTTCACCTTCCCCCGCATCATGGGCCCCCCCTCGGTTGGTACCCCACCCCTAAGCTGGCCCACGCCGCGGCGGCCTGACCCTTCCTTTTGCTTTCAGGCCAACGAGCTGCTCCTGAGTGGCAGGAAGTTGACGGCGCAGGAGGCGTGTTCCAAAGGTTTGGTCTCGCAGGTTCTCTGGCCGGGAACCTTCACGCAGGAAGTGATGCTGCGTATCAAAGAACTGGTCGGCGTCGACTCTCTCGTGAGTATCACGCTGCTCTACGGTGCATTTCAAGCTGGGAAACGAAGTATTTCTTCTCAGTCCATATTGATGATTATTGATTTTTTTTCAACCTATGAACCTTTGAATTCCGAATGTTAACGCGACTTTTTCCTGCCACCTGATGTATGGTCCGGCTCTCATATCAAATATGTTTCTTGGTTCAATAAAGGTTATCAAGCCCATGCACATCCCCACAGAATTTGATGTGTGTTGTTTTTGTGCGGCTCAGGTCCTGCGGGAGTCCAAAGCCTTGATGAGGAACTCCAGCCGAAGTTCTCTGGAGCAAACCAACGAGCGCGAGTGTGAAGCTTTGAAGAGAATTTGGGGCTCATCGCAGGGAACCGACGCCATCTTGCAGCACCTGCACAGAAGCAAAGAGCTCTACTAGGACCTGCACCAGGACCTGTTTGTGCTTCTATGACTGGATTGGACTAAATGTTTGAGTGCAAATGTAAAGTAAGTTATGAGTCATGTTTGCTCGATGAACGTTTTGGCTCAACGATGCGCTCAGCTGAACTTTCCCGACAGGGAGTCTGACTCCATGTTTGGATGTGTCTTCTAAGCTAGCACAGCCTCTATCAATGCCACATCCTTGCGAATGACACATTTGTACCTTTTCTACATTGGCAAGTAAATGGGGAGAAGAGCATTGCAGTACTCACGTGTTTCAATTTAAATCGGATGACGCCCTCTTGCTGGTCATGAAAACTTCCAACCTTTGGGCTCTTCCCATGTAAGGGTCTCCAAGCACTGGGCTGTACAGAGAAACTCAACTTTTTTTTCCGTTTTCTTAATGGAGTGGTAGACGGGGCTCCGGAAGGTTGTGGTGGCCTTCGTGGGAGGACGATTGGGTCATGATCCATAGGTAGGAGGAACAGCCCGCTCTGAAATCCGGCCAGCTGGCCAGCGAAGCAGGTCAAGGGTGCCAATCGGTTGCAACAACAAATATTGGGTCCAGCACTGCTGTGAAAGTTGCAACGTGGCAAGATTTGACCAATTGCTAAGTGTTGTTGGACTGGCCACTTGAACTGATCTCTATAGTTCCCCAAAATGTCCACAAAAAAAAAAAAAAAACTTGCTGTGTTGAATGCAGTTATTGCATTCACAACCATTCATCACCAGCACTTCATGAAATTCAGCTTGAAAAATCAGGAGCATCACCCTGTGCTGATCACGTAATACGGGGGCGGTGGCAAAGATGACTTGAAACAACAAAGCTATTGGAGATTGACTCGCTCGGAAAAGGGGGCTGGGGGAGAAGTGCACATCACACCCACGTTCAATAGAATGTTTTGTTGTGCATTCAATTGTCTATTTGTTTCCAACAAAGTATGTCTTTACATGACAATGACATGTGGCACAAAATAGTTTGGGATCGCCGCTTTAATGGACATGTTCCCTGTGAGCCATATGCACCTTTCCCGTAGGGGGCTTTTGATAAAGCTACCCCCCCCCTACCTCCTTAACTCTTAGCTCTGTAAAAATAAATGACCATTGCCAACACACCTTAAACAAAACCTCAAATACATTTATTTACCAAAATAAAAGGATGCCCTGTGCCAAAGTCAGTTTACACAATAAAAGATGACTTTTGTAATTCAAATCTGTAAAGAAATTGGACGTTGAAAAAAAAAAACCGCGCAATGTTTTCCAAGTCCAATGTTTTCCAAGTCCGTTTCAGTGTTTGCAAAGAGGTGGGTGTGGTCAGGAGGCTGGCGTGGCCAGGTGCAGGGAGTAGGCGTGGTCAGGGAAGAGTACCAGCGTGTAAAAGTGTCGCTCGTGCACGTGCAGATTGTCCATAAAGCCGTGAACCGTAACGGCCGCCCAGGGTGGCGAAAGGGGACGCTCCAGGAAGTGGCTGCAACATAGATAAGGAAGGTGGCTGATTGGCGGCCCGAATACCCAAGTGGACTTCATAGCTTACCTGAGCTGCTTGACCAGCGTCATGATGTTTTGGGGAAGCAGCAGACCGCGCACCTCAAGGAGAAACGAGCTCTGAGAAGACTGGGCGGATGGATGAGGGCACGCCAAGGAAGACAGGAAGCTGTCAGCAGCGTTGTCGCTGGGGACGACACAGGGTCATGGAGTCACCTGACAAAAGAGGGCTCGCCACGTCATCCGGTCTCGCCACCTCACCAGCTGATATCTGCTTGGACGGCACCGAGCCACTCCAGAAGGTCGAAGGGGTCATAGGAGCGCAGGTCACAAGTCAGCGGGTCGGGACGGCTCAAATGGGTCAGAAGGCGACAGCTGACCTCGGGTGTGTGTCGTGACCACTCGTACCTTGATAGCAGCGGCTGCAGCGCGTCCGGGTCCCCTACGGACACAAACATACGGCGGCATTTTCTTCGTGGTGACATGTTTTGTGTGGCAGTGTATAACCAGGATGCCTTCCATTGTTTGCTGCACTGAAGGGGCTCGGGCTTGTTACCAGTGTCGGCCACCCTCTTGTGGCTGTTTTACTTAGTAGAAATTAGAAGAACAGAACACTGCATTAATGGACATATATGGGTCTTCTGTCAATGTTTTTTTTTTGTTTGTTTTGTGGGGGGGGCATTAAATAAAGTGGCAAAAACACACTAAACTCATGGCATTCACATTCCTCTATCGCATAAAGTTTCAGTTCACTGCTGTCTGTGTGGTTTTTTTTTTTCACATCTGCCTTCAAGCTTGTTGGCGCTGTTTCATAGGCTGCTCTCGTGTAGTGACAAGATCTCATGTGATGCAAGAAGTCACATTCATTTCGGGGAATAAGATTTTTTTTTTTTAACATCTGCCTTCAAGCTTGCTGCTGCTGTTTCATAGGCTGCTCTCGTGTAGTGAAGAGATCTCATGTGACGCACCTCATGTCACATTAATTTCGGGGAATAAGAGGTTTTAAAAGGATCGATGTAATGATCGAGATCTATTGGGGGATGAAGGAAATTGATTCGATTTTTTTTTTTTTAAACCAACGCTAGTGTCGGTAACAACTCAAGAATTGTACTCATTAAAAGGATCGATGTAATGATCGAGATCTATTGGGCGACGAAGAAAAATGATTTGATTTTTTTTTTTTAAACCAATGCTAGTATCGGTAACTACCCAAGAATTATACTCGCCCTCCGGCTGTATGTTAAAATGTGCGTTCTGTTGTCAAATATGCATGATGGCAATGAGACGGGAAGTCACCTGAAGCAGGCGCCAACAGGAATTCCATCTTTAACGGAAGGCGTGACGTCAGACCGCTGAATAGACGCTGGTAGCGTGGCCTGCCAGGAGCCATGCTTCTGTCATTCAAATCCACGCTGACCACTAATTTTGTCCCGCATCACAAAACAAGAAATCCTAATTAAATTTTAGCACAGCAACGACACGTAATACTGCTGATGCTCTGGAGAAGTGCTTCACACCGTATCGGCTGGACTTTGGTTTACACGCTTTGCCTTCAATGCCCAACAGCTCGTAGGAGTCTTTGTCCAGCGACAGACACAGATGTCCTGCACGCAAACACACACGTCCGTCATGTTTGACAAATATATGTGGCCACATTCCTTAAATCCGTTACCATTTGCCTTGAGGAAAGCACAGTTGTCTTCGTCAATACGAGTTTTGTAGGACAGGCCGCACACGCTTCCTGAAGGACGCACGCACATGTTGTCAGCGATATGCAAAACGAATGGGACATGGGTGTGGTCATGTGACAGATGTCACGTGACAAGCGCATACCACGGCCCAGGTGTTCGTCCAGAAGTTCATAAAGCGGAAGGTTCCGGACCAGGTAGAAACTTTGGAAACTTCTTAATGTTTCATCGAGTTGAGAAGGAGCGCAGCCACAATCCGGGAGAAGTACAGTCGCCTGCACAAAGACATAAAACTTGACTGACACGTAAAAGGAACACACAAGCAATTCGGAAACGGCAATGGAAACGTCGTCAGGGCTGCAACCCAGAACGTAACTTTGCTAATTCAACACACAACAACAACAAAAATCATATTTCGTGATGTCATGTATTGTTTTTGAACGTCTTGACAGCTTCTACGTGAGAAGAACTTGACTCATCATTCGCTCTCTTATTTTAAGCTACAGACTTTTTAGAAGATGCACTGTGCAGTTTCCATTTCAACTGCAAACCCACGTGACGAACGAGCTGGCGGCTGATGCCAATGCTAACCCGCGTGAGCGTCTGACCCTGTAGTTGAACGGTAGCTGCTCCAGGTGCGCGCTCAGTCTGTTGTTTGGGTGTCGCAAAGAAGACGTTTCACAGTTAAGAAGGGTTTTGCTGCTCATCTTCACTTCAACCACTTTTGGGCCACTACAACGGGAAACAATCACAACCGGAAGTCCAGCATACGTCATTTCCTTTTGCTCCTCCTATTTCTTTTTGTTATTGTTGTAATTAGTGGTGTGTTTCGTTTGTTTTGTTTGAAGTATTTCTCTGAAATAACCACCTGCGATTGGCGTTTTTTTACATAAATGACAGATTTGAAATGTAAAGCTCCTGTCCAACAAGGGGCGGTCTTGAGCTAAATGGTGAGGCAAATGTCTTTCTCGCGGGACCTCGTCACGTGTCCATACCCGGAAGTTAATCGCGCACGCGGCTGCTGTGACCACAACACGAAATATTGACACCCAAGTGACTTTACTGATCATTGATACATACGTATATTGGTTTGACGTCATATGGCGTTGTTGGTCGACTCTGTACCTGGACAGTTTGATGACGTAGAGGACGAGGACAGGTAAGGCCAAACATCTGTTTGTTCTGTGTTCACACTTGGTGTTTTTGGTCTGTGTTCACACTCCGCCTTGATAAACATGTTTGTCGTCACATTTTATGGCTTCAAACGATTCTGGTTGAGTATGTTTTTGTGCACTTGCTGGTTCTAAGTGTGCAACAAATGTTACCAACCATTCTTCATGTTTTCGTCGTGTGTCTATGCAGCTAAATGGTCAAATATAACGAAAGAGACGGCCAACTATCGATGAGCTTTGTTCTGGCCATGTCTAGCAACCTTGTTGTTGTTGTTTTTTAACTAAGAGCGGTTTCACAACCTTTCGTTGCGCATTTTACATGCAAAAAATGACTTAGCCCACTGACACACAAAAATAACACAACACGTATGAATAATCCAGAGGTCTTCATTCACTTACAAAAGGACAGAGTCAGTGTGAACTCTCTGCGATTGGCTGGTGACCAGTCCAGGGTATGGCAAATCAGCTGTAACAGGTCATGAGAAGTGCGTCCGAAAAGGGATGGACAGATGATGGCTTTTTGGTGCCTCCACTGCAACCTTGTCCAAATGGCAGAAAGTTGCGTCCTGTTTTTTAAATAATAACAATGTCTTTTTGGTCACATGTTACACTGCAGCCAATCCAAAGCCTTTGATATCCCGCGAGATGTCAAGCAAGTTGGCGTTCAGCAAGACAGCGACGATGACGACGACAATGATGATGAGGATGATGAAGTTGATGATGATGATGATGCATGGGCTTGGTCTGCGGCGGGAGGCGATCTGACCAAACGATACAACCGGAGTGTGGTCGGTCAGGTCAGATAATTGATATCCATGTGATGATGGATGGTGATGATTGACAGCTGGCAGTCAGATGATGCTGTTTTTTTTCCCCAGGCGAACAAACAGAATTCGGCCAATTACGTGCCTACCACAGACAGGTCGCTGAGAAGGTTTGAGCACAAGATCAACTTGGGTTAGCGCACACACACTCACGCACTCATGCGCACAGTCACAAGCACGGCGTGGAACCTTTCCACACACGCTTGTTTGTTTGCAGATAAACTCAATTTCGCTGACTCCGTGATCAACAAAGTGACAACGATGCAGAAGCAGAAGGACGCAGACACGTACGTCAACACTGCATTCATGGAATTTTTATATTAGATAATTCTTAAAATGTCTACTAAAAATGCCTTTGTAGAAATTGTGGAGTAGGGAAGGAGTGAATGATTGCAAAGGCTGCAACTGCGTTGGCAATTATTCATCTGCAGCTACTCCAGAATGACTTTATTTAGCAATGTGACAAGGTTTTTTAAAATGACAGACCATCTAAAGGCTGAGTGTGCTTGGAACAGCCACTTCAACCAGAGTTCAATGCATTAAGTGAATTTTGAAAAGTCGCGCCGACGTTGAGTTGTTGAAGATGATTTACGAGGCCGTTGAAGTGCTCGTGCCAGTTTTTCTGAAAATTCCACAAAGAAGGTAGCCGCTTGCCAGTGTGGCTATTCTCTGTGTTGCATAGACCACACTGATTTAGTTTTTTACCCTTGATTTATTATGTGTTTGTTTGTATATATTGACCGGCTGCTCCTGCTCGCAGGTACCGCGTGAAGGACAAATCGGACCGGGCCACCGTGGAACAGGTGCCGATTAGCGTCAAGATGCTTTTATTGAGAAAATAAAACACAGCATTGGTACGTGACAGACTTTGTCGCACAGGTTTTAGATCCTAGAACGCGAATGATTCTCTTCAAGATGTTGACTCGAGGGATAATCTCAGAAATCAACGGCTGCATCAGTACAGGGAAAGAAGTGAGCTTGCCTGCCCGCGCTTTGACATCTGTCCGCCATGCTCCACATCGCCTCATTCACATCTCCTCATTGCGCTCGTCCCGCCAGGCTAACGTCTACCACGCCGGCACAGCCGGCGGAGACAGCCGAGCCATCAAAATCTACAAGACGTCCATCCTGCACTTCAAGGACCGGGACAAATACGTCAGCGGCGAGTTTAGGTGGCGTACCGTTGCCTGCTTTCATTCCATCCTGACTCAAAGTCGGCGGCCCCTTGGGTGAACTGCGTTGGCTGAAGCCGTTCTGCTGTTGCGGTGCAGGTTCCGTCACGGTTACTGCAAGGGGAACCCCAGGAAGATGGTGCGAACTTGGGCCGAGAAGGAGATGAGGAACCTGATCAGGTGGCAGCTTTTCTAGGAGGAAGTCAATCCCCTGAAGAAGTCGCATGCTAAAACATCCCAAACACTCTCAGGTTGCAGACGGCCGGGATCCCCAGTCCGGAACCGCTGCTGCTGCGGAGCCACGTGCTGCTCATGAGCTTCATCGGCAAAGACGACAGGTGAGGCCCGCACAGAACCTTTGACGGCAAACAAAGCAGCAGGCTCGCCTTCTCATGTCTGCCCTCGTCGAGCAGGCCCGCCCCGTTGCTGAAGAACGCTGTCTTCTCCGAGTCAAAGGCCCGCGAGCTCTACCTGCAGGTGGTCCACAACATGCGGCAAATGTTCCAAGAGGCCAGACTGGTTCATGCCGACCTCAGCGAGTTCAACATGTTGTAAGGACAGCGAGCCGCGCGGCCTGCGGGTGGCCATTCGATCGCTGAGCTTGTTTTCCGCTCTGGCTCCAGATATCAGCATGGCCAGGTTTACATCATCGACGTGTCGCAGTCAGTGGAACACGACCACCCGCACGCGCTCGACTTCCTCCGGAAAGACTGCAGCAATGTCAATGGTGAGTGGGCGCGGCTTCCGCCACTGAGCTCCCTGGAATCCTTTCCGTTCGTCTCTTCTTATCTCTCCTTTGCTCTCCTTTAGTCTTATATTTTCGGGGACATGCAGTATTGTAGGCATGTTGAGTTGTTTTTTTGGATGATGGGTGGGTGGCGGGGGGTCCTTGGAAAGATTTTGAAAGCTCTCCTTTAAGGGAATAATAGTTGCAGAAAGATTGGGACTGAACACTTGACTGTTTCAGAGTTTTTCGGGAAGCGCGGCGTGGCAGTGATGACCGTCCGAGAGCTTTTTGACTTCATCACTGACCTGTCAATCACCTGTCACAACATGGACCAGTACTTAGAGAAGGTGCGTAACCAGTAAATGACCTCTGACGACCTTTACTTGGCTAACCACGTTTGCGATCGCCGGCCCAGATGATGGTCGTCGCGGCCGAGCGGACATCGGCGCAGCGCTCGGATCAGGACCGTGTAGACGAGGAGGTGAGAGACGGACCAGCGGCGCGTACCCCTGCGCGCTTTCGTTCGCGTGTCTCTGACCCGTGACTTGGGCGTCCAATCAGGTGTTCAAGAAGGCTTACATCCCACGAACGCTCACTGAGGTCAGCCACTACGAGCGAGACTTCGACCTGATCAGGACGAGGGAGGAGGAGACAGCCGCCAGCCAGCAACACGACAACGTGAGTAGAGCGAGGCGGCGACGTCGCCCGTCTTCACTTCGGTCAGAGGAAGTGGCGTTGTCGCAAAATCTGACTTTCTCGTCCTCCGCTTCCTCTTGGCTCTGCAGGTTCTTTATCGGACGCTGACGGGACTGAAGAAGGATCTTTCGGGTGTTCAGATGGTAGGATGACGTTAAACTCAATTGCAGCTTCGCAAGGCCCAAATGCCACTGCGGCAAATGGTCCAATTTCACTCGTTTTCAATTTATGAACTCCAAATCATGGCTCATCTTTCTATATCAGCAACCTATCATGACGAGCAGAACAATTTAATGCTCTTCCACTAGATGGCACACTGTGCAATTAACCACCACCACTCTGGGAGTATATTTCGATGTCAAAATTATTTTTAGTTGGTCTTATTGCAAGCCGAATAGATGTATTTCACTTTTTAATTTTTTTTTTTGGGGTAATTGTTTTATTGTGTTTTTAGCATAGAATTTAGCATGAGTGTGAAATATAGTCACATGCCTTTTATGCTGAAAGTATGTTGGCACTGACTGGAAGAAAAAGTGTTTTCAAACTGCATAAAAAATAGCGTGAGATAGTGTTGTTCTGTAGACTTGTGGGGTCACTGGGGATTCCCTCAATGTGCGGTGGAAAACCAGCCCAATCAAATTGTGCTCAATGTTCCATGCGCAGGTTCCGGCTCTGCTGGAGGACGACGGGTCTTCGTCTTTGTCGGAGGAGGAAGAGGAAGAGGATGAAGACGATAAAGATGACGAAGCCACTCACCCTCTACCTGGAGACAATGCAGACCCCTTGGACAAAAAGGTGTTTTTCTTTGCGACGTTACCATGACGGAAGAATGAACAAACGAGCAAGGTGCTTTTGTTTCAGGAGAAGAAGAAGCTGGTGAAGGAAGCTCAGAGAGAAAAGAGGAAGTCCAAAGTTCCAAAACACGTAAAGAAGAGGAAGGAGAAAGTGGCCAAGACCAAGAAGGGACGATGAACGTAGACGCGGGCCCTCGGAGGCTGCGGCCAATTGCAGCCTCCGTCCGTTCTTTGCGCCTTCAAAAAGTCCTTCATTAAATGAAGCTTGGTGAAATGTCCGCACGGTCTCCTCTTTGACTGTCTGCAGCTTCATGCCAAACAGCAAACACATCACTGCATGTACGTTGGCGCGTGCTAAGCAGCCTGGAAATCTAATCGTGTGAATGGGCGAATTGTAAAGTTGATTGATGGCTGCCACCGAAGGTCACGTCCATGCGTGCTGAGCTGCTACATTTTGGTTGACATTAGTCCAAATGCAAATGTTCAGTTTGTGTGTGTAGACACACACACACACACACACACACACACACACACACACACATGAGAATGGATGAAGCAAGTGTGCACACTGAGCCACAATAGAAGGCAAACAGTGATGTCACCATAGTGCACTGAAAGGTCAAAATGGACGAAAAGGGCCAAAAGTATTTGGACATTGTAGAATGTTTCACAGACGCGCACGAGTCAGAAAGACGATAGAGGTGATGATGATGATGACAGAAAGGGAGGAGCTTGTGCCACCACACTTAACTTTGATTGGTTCACTGTTGCATGAGTGAGACGCTGCGTTCTGATTGGCCACGTGGGAAATACAATAAGCAACCGACGATTTGAGAAGTTGAGAACTTTTTCCTCTTCATCTCGTCATGGCCGCTGACTGGACCGACTCTTTGAACTTTGGCCTCACACTGGCCAAGCAGGCCAGTCAGGTATGACCTCTGACCTTTGACACACGAGCCCTCCACGCCATCTCTTGGCTACTTTTTTTGCAGTGGGCCGATATCATCTCTGTTGACGTGATGTCATCAGTAACAGCGTCAATAATGGCACTTTAATTTGGCGACATGGCCGCAGGTGGTGATGGAGGCGTACGAGCGGCGGGGTGAAGAGTTCACGTGTAAAAGTTCCGCTGCCGACTTGGTGACGCAAAGTGACGTGAAGGTGGAAAATTTCCTCAAGTCGGCCATCGCCAGCAAATATCCACAACACAGGTCAGACGCTCCAATTTTCTTCTCCTTTGGAAAGAGCGTTCATTTTTTACATTGGCCTCCTTGATGGAAGGCGGATTTTGGAAACAACCAAGTCGATCTTGGTTTCCTTTCGATTTTGGAGTCGTGCGATTGTCTTGGGCTCCTGCTCCATTTCAGCTGAAGCTAAACCCAGAAGGGAAGGCCCAAACAGATTCGGCCGTAACGAAAGCCTGGATGAGGTCTACACTATGGCAAAAAATTGCGTGTAAAAAAAAAAAAAAAAAAATGTCTTAAATCTGCGATTGTTGAACCTTGAAATAGTTTGACCAAAGGCTGCCACACACGATATTTAGACAACTGGGAACTCTTAAATGTGAAGGAGGAAAAAAATCTGGTCCATGTGATTGGCGTCAACATTCGCATCAGGTTCCTGTTTTTTTTTTTTTTCCTGGCGTCAGGTTCCTGGGAGAGGAGTCGGTGGGGGCGGGCGAACGTTTAGAGTTGACGGATCTTCCCACGTGGATCATTGACCCCATCGACGGAACCGTCAATTTCGTCCACAGGTCAGAGGCTCCGCCCCCGTGATGATGTCATTTCTACACACAGCAATTCACCCTTGTGCACTTCCTGTCAGGTTTCCGTTCGTGGCCGTTTCCATCGCCTTCTGCGTCAACAGGCAGGTGAGAGGCCTGACGTGTCGGTCGAGGTCGGAGGTCAAATGTGGACTGACTTGCTCACGACCTTTAGACAGAATTCGGAATCGTGCTGAGCTGCGTGGACCAAAAGGTTTACTACGCTCGCCGAGGGGGAGGAGCCTATTGCAACGGACAGCAGCTGCGGGTCTCCGAACAGCAAGGTCACCGCACTTACTGATGATGTCATGACAACAGTAAACAATAAAACAGAACTGTAAGAAACAGAGCAAAAGGAAAGCAGAGCATTCATATATTACATCACGTGCAATGTGAAGGCCTTCATCCTACGTTTATGTATTGATCGCATCTGGAATTGCTTTGTTCTTGAATGGTGGTGCTCTACATATCAACTTTCCTCGCCTCTTCTGTCTGCTCCAATCAGACGTGAGCAAATGCCTGGTGGTGACCGAAATCGGGGCGGAGCGTGATGACCTCGCTCTGTCCACCATGACCTCCAACATCCTCACGTTACTCAAGCTGCCCGTGCATGGGTGAGAAGGACGCACGTCGGCGTTGATGTCGTTTGCGGTGACGGTTGTGATGGCGTTGCAGGGTGCGCGCGTTGGGCACTGCAGCCGTGGACATGTGCCAGGTTGCCACAGGCGCTGCTGACGTCTACTATCACGTGGGGATGCACTGTTGGGACATCGCCGCCTCTGCCATCATTGTCCAGGAAGCAGGAGGTGTCGTCATGGATACCGAGGGTGGGTGTCAGATCGCCATTCTTGAGTATCCGCCTCGCCTTCATGTGAGCGTGTCCTCCTCTGCAGGCTCCCGCTTCGACATGATGTCACGGCGAGTCATCGCAGCCAGTTCGTCCGCCGTGGCAAATCGGATCGCTCGAGCGATTCGAGCCTTTCCCTGTAGCCGTGACGACGCCGAGCCAAGCCAATGACGCGCGGTCATCTGTTATGTTCGTCACAACGGCTACCGGTTGAACAATTGGAACTGCTTAGAGGAAGAGAGCTTGAGAAAAAAAAAAGGAGCATTTTCAGTTGCACTTTCCAGTTCAAATAATCAATCAAAATCACAGCAGATAATATATATCATGCTCTGAAAATAAAAACGTTACGCCCACCAACAATTCAGTAATATTCGATTCCATCCTGACGACATTGCTGTATTGACTTTAATCTTGTATTCATATCTGTTTTAGTTCAAAAAGTTCCCAATCAAAATGTGCACTTTATTTCCTGCATCTGAACATAACTCTTAACTACTGACACGTGACCCCTATTTTCCGCAGGGTGTCTGTCCTTTCGTCGAAATAATTTGATGGAAAAATGCAAGGAGTCACAATGCCACCAAATAAAACTTTCCAAGAACTTCAACAGAATGTCGTTTATCAGTACTGTACCAACTCTATTTGTGGCTGAAGCGTGTCCCAGTGCGACCAGCAGAGGGCGGCAACGGTGACGACAGGCGTGGCTGTAGAGAACAAAGAAGACAACCCGGAAGTGAGTGGTGTCACTATTCCGCACTGTCAAGATCACATTTAGCATCACATCATCCTACTCGTTTCTTCAAGGTGACACGTGTAAGTCGGTCATTGTAAACTTTGAATTGGTTGTTGTTTCGGTTCCACTTGCGTCGAAGCTTAAAATGGATTGAAATATGGATTGACTTCTTTATCATCACTCTTCCAACGACATTTTCTTCTACCTTTGCTTGACTTCTACTTAAAATGATTCTATTGTGACACAATTCTTGCCTCTGACACGTCGTCAGTGACGGAAGAAGTGCTAAAGCTCGAAAAATCAAATGTCAAAGAAGAATGTCGACAAACGACAGAAATCGACTCACTTCCACCTCCCAGCGTTGATAGGTTGTTACTGCAGCTGATGATCACACATCAGTGGATTTGATTTTTGGACAAGTTCTTTAACCATTCACAATTATTGTACATAAAAGTACATTTAAACTGTGAAATTTTGAAGCAGCCCACATAGGATGACGGACATTTGGCAGAGCGCCATGGACCACGCCGTCGCTTTGGCACGAAAAGCTGGACAGGTATGCATGCACGCGATGTATAAATGGTGGTAGTCGAGTAAGTGCTTAGTGTTGTGATTGTGAAGGTGGTGCGTGACGCAGTGGGCGACGCGCAGAAGGAGGCGGTGATGGTGAAGAGTTCGTCCATCGACTTGGTGACGCAGACCGACCAGAAAGTCGAGAAGCTCATCATCCAGTCGGTCAAAGAAAAATTCCCAACACACTGGTGCGAAGCAACGTGTTTGTGCTTGTGTGCGAATAGAAAAGCAAATTAACGTAGAGGAAAAGCCACTAAAAAAGTGCCTTTGTTGAAACGACGACAGCAAAAATTGAGAGGAGCCACGTCGCTATGGAAACAGCAGACGGAGAGCAGCGATGCTAAACAGATTGTAATTATTGGCACCCTTGCTTAATATGTGTTTCGAGTTTTTGATAAATTCATTTTTTTCCAAAAAGAGGAATCCAAATGTATTTATTCAGTGGGAAAAAAACATCCCGCATTAAGAAATACTTGTTTGACATCAAATGATGTGTGCCACAATTCTTCGCAGCCCTCATGTCGTGACGATGAGGCTCTTTGAGTGGAGCTTTTTTGCAACTGTCTCGGTCCGCTAGTGGAAGCGGGCCTTGCGATCAGAGAGAGTGTTGCGGCCAGATTAGACGCTCCTTGTGTTTATTATTATATTTCGAAAACACCACAGTTTCCATGCAGCTCATACCATATTATTTTGTTGTATTATTTCCGCCACACCTTAAATGCCGGTCCCTGGAAATATTGTCTGACATAAACCGGTCCGTGGGGCAAAAAAGGTTGGGGACCCCTGCGCTAGTGGAAGCGGGCCTTCCCAGCGCACACTGCCTTTCGGCAGGTCTTGCCACGCTGCTAAAAGTGGATGACGATGTTTGTGTGTCAGCTTCATCGGGGAGGAGTCAGTGGCCGCAGGAGAAGTTTGCGTCCTGACCGACAGTCCCACGTGGATCATCGACCCGATCGACGGGACCACCAACTTTGTTCACACGTGAACTCCATTCTTCTCTTTGGTCGTCGTTTCATCAACACAATGCTGACGAGCTCGTCCGTCTCCTCTGCAGATTCCCTTTCGTCGCCATTTCCATTGGATTTTCGGTCAACAAGCAGGTGAGAAGTCTATCCCAATGTCGTCAAAGGTTGTCAATCAAGCGCTCTGCGTCTCCGCTTCCCAGGTGGAGTTTGGCGTCGTGTACAGTTGCCTGCAAGATCAGATGTACACGGCGCGGCGGGGGAAGGGCGCCTTCTGCAATGGCCGTCCTCTACGGGTTTCTCATGAAAAAGGTTTACACATCATCCCTGACTTATTTCACGAATCTGAAACAGGAAGTGATGTCATGCGACTTTCTGTCAGACATCCGGCAGGCCATCATCGCCACGGAGTTCGGCTCCAACCGAGACCCTGGAGTGGTGGACAAGGTCTTCTCTAGCCTCAAAAGGGTTGTCAGCATTCCTGTCCATGGGTACCGCAACCTTCGCCTGACCAAGCCAAGTCGAGGCGACTGTGACGGTGTCCGCATCTCGTTAAAGGGTGCGCGGCGCAGGAAGTGCCGCCATTAACATGTGCCTGGTGGCGTCCGGGTGCGTGGAGGCCTACTATGAAATCGGCATCCATGTGTGGGACATCGCCGCCGGCTCGCTCATCGTCTCCGAGGCAGGCGGAGTCCTGATGGACGTCGACGGTAAGAGGTCAGCCGTTGTCGAGGCAACATGACGCCCTGCTCAACTGTGTGTGTGCGTGCATGTGCAGGAGGCCTACTGGATTTGATGTCACGCCGCGTTTTGGCCGCCAACAATCAGAGCGTCGCCGAACATCTCGCCAAAGAAATCGACGCCTTCCGTGTGCGGCGAGATGATGCCGCGTCATGACCTCTACATTCGTCATCAATAAGCAACAAAGGTCACATGTCACTGTTGGGATGTCCATATTTGGTCAATCGCATATTTTTTTCCACAAATTGATACTGTTAGTGTGGCTCAGTGTGTTTTTTTTTTTTTTTGAAACAAGTGATTGTTGGCTCATGGCAATTGTTTCTCTGACGACGCCACAACATTGACGGCTCAACCGACATTCCGCTGTTTGCTTTCCCAAGGTGACGTTTATGGTGTTGCGACGATTCCGCCCAACATGAGCGACGATTACACTGATCATGAGAAATACGTGAAATGGGCCACCTGAGCAATAGAGTAGTTACACTTGACAGAAAAATAACCTGATGAATGTTTCTATCTTGATTTCACAAATACACTGAAAAAATGTTGACTCCTGACTTGCTCGTTTTGTGTCTTTTACGAACTCGCATCAGCTTTACGGATGCCCATAAAATGGGCTCAAGCTGATGTTGAAGCGTTAGCATCAGATAAATATAGACTGACTTTTTTTTTTTTTTTTGCGACCTCCAGCAAGGATAGAGGAAATTGAAGTGCCTTGGATGCTTTAATTGTGCAGAAAAAAAAAAAAAAACTAGTGAAAAGGTGAAACTCAAGAACTGGCCGTTGAAAGTTGGTTTAAACTGTGGACAGGTGTGGCCCTCCACTCCTTGCCCTCGGTGAGCGCTCGCGGCTGGTGCATGAAGACGCTGAATCGGACGCCCTGATTGGCTGCCGCCCTAACGAAGCGGCCGTTGGCAGTCAGGGTAACGGCACGCAGCGAGTCCCCGGTGCCGAAGATCAAGAGCGAGCGGCGGTTGACCTTGGCGCTGGGCACTAGCGCCAGCGCCCGCTCCGACGGCCGGTCGTCCACCAGGTGCAGGCGCGCCAGTAGCTGGCGAGCGCGCTCTTTCTCGCCGGGCCCGCCCAGCGTGTCCAGGATGAGCCGGAAGTCAGCCACGGCGGCGCTGCAGGCGTACAGCTCCTTGCCCGCCATGAAGGCATCCAGCAATGGCAGGACCGGCCAGCGGCGCTCCTGGGCCGCCTGCTCGGTCAAGACGGGCTCACGGAAGGCCAGATGACAGCGGCCGTGACTGAGTGACGACACGTAGGCGATGAGCGCGGTGATGTCCAGATTGACGCGCCCGCACTCCTCAGCGTGCACTGCCGCGGGGAACGCCAGGCTGGCCACTACTGTGCCGCGGTCCACTCGGGTGGGCTCGGGCTCCTCCTCTCCGTCTGTGACCTCCTCGTGGTCCTCGTCCCCCTCCTCAGCCTCCACCACCTCCTCCTCCTCTTCATCGCCACCCTCTGCCTGCTCTGCGTTGACGGCCACGATGTCCCCGCGGACGGCCACGCCCATCTCCTCCAGGCGCTGCGCCATGGGGCTGGACACACCATTGTAGAAGGCAAAGACAACCCGAGGGTGGAGGTACTGGACGGGCTGTTGGCGGCTGGCGTGCACAAAGTCCTCAGCCTGCCCGACAATGCTCTTGGCGCCGTAGCGGCCACGGCCCTGCCAGATGTTGTGCAGCGCCTCCGCCTTCCTACCCACGGCCTTGACCCACGTGTGCCCGCCGTTGGCCACCACATCCACCACCAGCGTGCGCTTGTCGCCGGCAGCGTCCCGGTATGAAAAGACATGCAGCACTGCCACCACTCCCTCCAAGCTCTCGGCCGAATCCAGCACGGCGGTCAGGTGCGTGAGGTTGGTGCTGTGTAGGTGAGACTCTTTGAGCAGAAGCTGGCCGCCTTCCGCGCGCTGCAGAAAGCGCAGCTCGGCACGGAGCTTGCTGCAAAGCTTTCCGCGTCCTTCCACGGCGGGATCGATTTGCTGGGCGCGCTGGCACAGGGCCTTGGCCACGCCCATTCGCTCATCTAACATGTCCTGGAGTGACATGACGCACTCATCCTACCTGGGGGACACACAATCGTTCGACCAATCAGAAAGGGAAGAGGGACAGCGCGTGAGGTACAAGATCGATCATTTGATTGCTCCTTGTTCGACGTGATCAGTTTGAAACCGCTTGACACAGCCAGCTAAGCGAAGCGGCTAAATGAACACATCGTTGTCATACGAAACACATCATAGTAGAGAAAGACATAAAAAAGGGCGAAAAGGTAACATGACGTGGACTTACTGCACTGTCGACGTATGACGACGGTGACTCAGCTCGTGGCTGTTAGCTTCTAATGCTACCTGTGAACTTCCGTCTTCGACAGGAACGAGCCCGGCTATGAAGAGACGTCCGTAGGACACACCCCCTTTGATCTGCGTGCCTTTGGCGACTCCAAGCTAGGAGGGTCAAAGTTGTCAGAAAACGGCTGAAAAACCCAAAAAGACGAAGGATTCCCGCCGCACGCTGGAGCATACAACACCGCAGTTCCGGCAAGGGAACTGGGAATACACATTCCACAGGTAAAAAGAAAACTATTTAGTCAGATTTCCTTTTTTTTTTTAAATTCAGTTATGTATTGAGAGCTGACGTTTTGCTGTTGGCAAAAAATGGAGCCTTGTGAAAATAATCTGGTGAGACCCGAGAAAATCACTACTCAATGTTGGTGATTTGCCTTTAATTGGAACGTCGACCTCCCCATGATGGCCGCCACGTAGGCACGTCAATTCAGTAGCTGTAGAGGCGTCTCTTTCTCGCTATGAGGATGACTATGTAGATAAATGACCGCTAGAGGGAGCCTCGGCAGGTTTGAACTGCTTTGATTCAAGTCAAGTCTTCCGAAGTCGTAGAATTCTTTCGAGTTCAACGCCTCTCAAGGGTGAATCAAATTGAAATCTCATTATCTGTCAGAAAAAAAATGTGGATACAATCATTTCCTGAAATCATTCGGCCCAGTTTCCCCGTACTTGTGAGAACGAGAAAAGCCTTTAGGCACAAGTAGGTGGAGGTTGATTCTTGTGCGATCAAACCTCCAATCCAAACTTTTTATCAGCTTCGTTCGCTCAAACGAACAGATACAACCGTGCCTGATTAAAGTGTTAAAATGACTTTTGGGATGTGGCGTTTCAACAATGGCAGCCTCCACTGGGACGTGAACGTTAAATTGCGAGAGAGACAATTTATTCATTTCCAACACCTTTTCTGTCTTTTGTCAATATATGGAATCAAATAGGTGTTTTCATCAGTCTTAATGAATATGGGGCTGAAAACAAGACTTTAAAATATTGGGAATCAACATCAATAATAATAATAATTAGTATCCCCAAATCTATAACTCCAAAATACATACGAGATACGAGGTGGCATTCAAATCTAGTTAATGTGATGAGCGATGCTCGAAATGAACACAGGTTTGATAATAAATATTTTTAATTATTAGTCAAAAATTTGATTAACAGGCAGCATGCTGGGAGGGGCTAAGGCACATGAAGAAATGAGGTCCATCCAAAGAGGTCCATCCTGTTGCAACACAAAAAATTGTGAGCGTGTTTTGGGGGTTAACGGTGACACTCGGAGGTGGTGTCGGGCTTCATCAGCTCTTTGCTTGTTTCCTTTTTTGGACCAGCTCTGCCAACATCTTGTAACGAATCATGCAGTCCTCCTGAAAAACAAGGTGCCCACCACATTGCCGTTTTGAGGTTTCCCCACAGGGATTTTGTTGCGTTGTGCCAAGCTTCCGGCGGTCATTCCGTGGCTCACCTTGCTTTTCCCGGGAACCACTTTGGCGATGCGATCCCAGCGCTCTGCACTTCCTCTGGGAAACTGCTGGAGGGCCAGTTCCAGAAGCTTCTGCTGGTTCTGAGTCCACACTGCTGCCGCCACCTCCGCCTTGTCCTTGTTCTCCTGTGCCGATACTGGCTCCTCCTCCTCGTCCACCTCATCAGGGTTGAAGTCTTTCTGCCGCCGGGACCTGAGGCGCCCTGCCTCTCCCTCGTCGGCCGCAACCGCACACTTCCTGTTCCTCCGTTTGACCGCCGCAACTTGTTCATTTTGGCACTGCTCCTTGGCGTCCACGCCCGCTCCACGCATTGTAATGGCGTCACAAACAGAAAGCGACTTCACGGGAAGAGACGGCCCCTTCAACTCGGACAGCTTCACCAGACCTGCAGCGGTACGCGGACCACAACTGAAGCGGATGCAAAACAAGACTTCGGTGAAGCAGAATGTGTGTGACGGCAGCAGGTCGACCTGTGCTGAGGTGGGCGAGGTCTTTGGCTTGTTTGACTTTGGTGGTCACCTGTCGGTAGACGAAATGAGGAAAAATACTTGAGAATGTCTAATTAGCAAGCTAACGAGTCAAGGCGTGCTCTCCACAAACAAATTGTCACGCAGGTGTGTCACTCACATCTGTCACGGATCTCCCCAGCTCGTGCGCGATTTTGTCCCAGCGACCCGGCGTTCCTCCTGGGAATTTTCCCATCAGTCTGCTGAGTAGGCTGATGTCCTCCTCGCTCCACTCCGTCGCCTAATGTCGGCGACACGCGACAACACTGAGGACTTGGCGTGTGTCCATGCTAATGCTAGTTCGAACAAGAAGGGACCTGCTTCCTGGCGGGCCTCTGGTCCTGCAGCCATTGGTCCAGCTGATCTTCCACTTCCTGGATGGATCCAGTCTGCTGGTAACTTTGGAAATTCGCCTCATCTGCCGACGGCTGGTAAATGGGGAAGTCCATCTTTGGCTTCTTCACCTTTGACCGCTTCTCTCCTAAAAGTGCAAGGTCACGTGAGCCATTGGTTGACAACTTGAAGAGATAAAGCAAGCTTCTTACTGCTCGCAACTTCCTGTTGAGCTTTTTCTTGCTCTTCCTCTTCTCTCTGCTGCTCCTTCTTCATCAGCTTGTAGTCTTCATAGTATTGCTGCACCTCCTGCGATCGACAAGCACAAGAAGCTTCTGGAAACGCACACACACACACACACACACACACACACACACACACACACACACACACACACACACACACACACACAGGAAGTGTACCTGCAGGGTTTGGGGCATGTGTTTGATTGACAGGTAGATCCACATGCTGACTTTCAAAGGAAGAATGTCTTGCCAGTGGGGGCGCTCCTGAGCCCTACACACACACACACACACACACACACACACACACACACACACACACGAATGATTATGACCTCACAGTGGAAGTACTAACGCCAAGCCAAGTACCTGTCAGGGCGGTCGGTTGCACCGTTCTTGACTTCGTCTTTGGCGTTGATCTTCTTCTTCTTTTCTCTCTTCTTTTTGGCCAGCATTTCATCCTACAGAAACGCAGGGGTCACCCGGGAGGGAGCGTGAGCCGCCACCAGACGCGTACATGTGTGTGACTCACCAGCAGCTTCTCCAGGTAGACGGACCAGATGACGGCGTAGTGCCCGACAGTGATGATGATGAAGAGCAGGAAGGCCAGCTCGCTGTTGCTCATCTTCCTCACGCGGCGGTAGTAGAAGACAGGTTGCCGCCAATCAGGAAGTCCGTTTACCAGGATGTCATCGTACCTGCGCGGACCCACAGAGGTGGTCGGAGGTCAGGCTGAGGCGCCACGGCAGCACCACGAACGGCCTCACACAGCTCACCTGCGTCGTCTCTCCTCATCCTTCAGGACTTCGTAAATGGCCACCAGCTGTCGAGCAGCACAAATCATCTGATATCTTCTTGCGCATACTTTTGCGATTTGTTATTTTTCAAGTTGTGTCCTGATTCTCGTCACCTGTCGAAACTGCGTCTCAGCATTTTCATCTTTGTTCTTGTCAGGATGCAAAACGAGTGACAGGCGGCGATAGGCCTTTTTGATTTCTGATGCCGATGCATCCTGAACACAAAGCAGAGACGTTCAGAAGATGACCTGGCTCCATTTGCCCAAGACAAAACAACTTGTGACTGGGGCTGCACGATATTGAGGGGAAAAAAAATCGGCATGATGATGATGATGATGCACATGATTTATCATACCGCTTGAACATTAGGACTTGAGAAGTGCACATATGCGACCTGATATCTCAAACACTCTCATGGATTAGGTGTTCCTGAAACACGCAGGAATTAGTATATAATACATTTAGTGTATTCATACATTGTGTGTACATCGTTATATGGTGAGGAAACAAATTGTATAGCGTGATCATTTTATGCTGTCTTGTAACGTAGCACGTCTCTTGTTAACCGTAAGCATAAAGTAGCTGTCCCGTCGACTCCTATGGACTGGAACCGAGCCGCGTCGTACACCACTGCGTCGACGTTCATGTTACCATGGAGATGGTCGGAGTGCCACGAACCTGCTCGAGCGACATGAAGCGGTAGAAGGTGTCCGGGATCTCCTCGACCAGGTCCAGAAGCTCCAGGTCGGCGTCCCAAGCGTCCGACGGAAGGCTAACGGACAGGAGAGCCAAGCCGCACACCATAAGCCAACCGCCCGCATTCATCTTGCGCTGCTCACCTCGCACGGTTACCGATCGGCCAGCTCAGCGGGCCGATGACACGGAAGTGCTCGTCAGTCACATCCGGGTCGCGCGTCCTGTCACCTTAAAAGCGTTTCTACATAGTACGGCGATCTGCGTGCTAAAAATTATATATCCCCCAATCCCATGCGGTCTGCTGTACCGGCAGTCAAACTCGCCTTTTCATTGCGAATGCCCTTCGCTAGTTTGTGTAAATACTTTTGAATAGTTTAAGTTTGTGTAAATACTTTTGAATAGTTTACGTGACCAGAAATTAAGTCGACTTTGACAATTTGTAGCGATGAAGTGTACTGAAACTTTAGTCAGGCGTGCGAGTGAGCAGTTTATCTTAACAAATCGTGGTGTCTTACGTGACATCGAATAATTAATGTAAGTAAATAGACAGATAATATAAATGTACAAGCTATTAAAATCTAGTTTTCCATTCACGGCCTGTGTCTCCGTGGAGGTCCCCATTGTCGAGTAACTTTAGATAGAAGCTAGTCAATGAAGTTACGGCCTCTTTTTTTCAAGTTCACGATTCGGACCAGGTCTAAAGAATGAAAAGACGTGGACCTGTAATGCCACCCACTTGCCGTAGCGAGAAAGGAAACCACTGGCGGCCATCTTGCGTTGCCACTCAATAAACATTCACCACTCGATTTCTATGTGGCTTTTTCACATTATTTTCTGTCTCCACAGCAAAAATGCGAGTGTGTGGTGTACGGTTGGACCAGGAAGGATGGGAGAAGCCCGTCTCCACGAGTGGTGTCAATTACAGCCACTTGTAAACTCCATTCTCGCACACACTTCCTGCAACTTCTTCGTTCGTGTGTGGCGAGGTGTGTCTTGTTGCGCGTTTTGCGGATACATTTCTTATTGGTCCTTCTGCGTTTGTGTTCGACGGCCCCTCATTGTAATAAATGCCTTTTTTTCTGAAGGAATCACTTTTTGGTGTTTCAGGACATTCAAATGCTTTTCATGTTGACTATTTGTACCTCACAATCTTAAATGGAGGGGCTTGTTACCCACAGCATGTTGTGTTCACCTGCTAACGCTATCTATGATGTATATCGTTTTATATGTGTATATATTTAATGTTATAACTGTTACTAATATCTAAACTTAGGAAGCAACATCTTTGATGTTGTCAGGTTCACACTACTGCCTCACAGTCCACTCCTGAAAATAATGCTCTCAACTGTCCTTAAGTCCACTGGCTGTGTTAGTAATAATCACCATGAAAATGTGATGGATCTGCCACAGTTACATCTTCTTCTTGTTCTTCTTCTCCTTGCTGCGCAGGCGGTGTTGTGGCCACGTCATTGCGCATTGATGAGGGTGGCTCGATGGGCCCGTGGGATGGCCGCCCCCGCTTCCATCACAGCAGCTAATGCTGACAAGAACACTTGACACACTGACTGTGAGTGTGAAGAAGCTAATTCAAGATACCCGTCATCACTTTTAGCAGGCCAGCACTGGAAAAAAAAATGTGTGTGTGTGTGTGTGTGTGTGTGAGTGTGTGTTCATATTTCTCACACTTGTTCAACATGTTTTGGGCAGGGTCACCAGCGCTCCAGTCCCTCATATTTATTGTAAAAACCTAATGATAATGACGATGATCACGGGTAGGCTTGGAGGCTTGAATTTCACAGATGTGCGATGGCGGACAGGTCGCATGGGATTGACTACAAGATGATCAAGAAGAGCAACAAGCATGTCAAAGTTCATTCGGAAACGGTGCGGAAAGATAAAGGCCAAATGTCATTCAGAACAATTGTCCTTGATCTTTTGCTGTCATTTTGAGGAAATCGTGTCACATTGCATGACAAATGTCTGGAAACAGGAGGCGACCGTTCCTCGATCATTTCATGGAGACGGCAATTGAAGATTTTTTTGTGTTTTTTTAGCAAATTGCACAGTGATGTCCCAGTCGTCCTTTGCTGTTTAATATATCGGAAAAAGCATTTTTACAACAACTGAATGTTTGGCTTTCTACAAAACAATCATTTATTTGACCACTTTCAGTCCCAAATTAGCAGGTGTCACACTAGTGAGACAGCACTAGTGGAAGTTAGTCAAGACTCGAACATGATGTCACAGTAATAAAACAGCTTTTTTTTTTTCCTCTTGTGCAACATTTAAAAAAAGATATACAGTATATATTTCTTGGCTTATGAGGAATAACTAGAGCATGCGAGTGCACCAGCATTTGACCTTAGTGACCTTGAGGCGCCTTACTAACCTACTTGTGCACTATGCTTCCAAAGTTGACGATAAAGCGCTATAGAAGTGCAAGTCCACACTTGCCACTTGTGCTTGACACATGATAGAAAAGTGCGTTCAAAGTGCATCAAAAGGGATATGAACGTAAGGTTTGATACGATTAGCCGTCAAATCATTCCACAATACTGCGCAGTACGTACATACTTTGGAACAAGACGTCATGTTGCCTTTTGGGAGAATTATGCCATCCGAAGAATATTTGATTGCTATGATTGCCACATGCTCCACTACCCACAATGCATTGTGTTGCCCTCTTTGTCTAAAATCAAGTCCTCGACTCAGCCATGAGTTTGTAGGTCAGTGAACAAACACATCGTTGCCACGGTGACCAATTTTGGCTGGCCTGCTTCTTCAGTCTGGAAACTTTCGTTTGACCAGCACATCCACTTCTTGTCATTCGGTGGGTGGGGGTGGGGGGTTTGTAGGTCAGTGAACAAACACATCGTTGCCACGGTGACCAATTTTGGCTGGCCTGCTTCTTCAGTCTGGAAACTTTCGTTTGACCAGCACATCCACTTCTTGTC